CCCCACCCACCACACACACACACACACACACACACACACACACACACACACACACACACACTACGACTTTTGTTCATAAGAGAGATTTTTAAGATGGGTGTCTAGTCTCTTAAGTGCAGTGAGCCTTCCAGTCTGAAATCCAGGTTCAGAATTGTTTTAAAATAAGTCACTTTAAAACCAAATGCCTCTTTTCTTGATGTTCTCTAATTTAATCCAAGTATGTGGCACTCATTTCAGCATCAAACACCAGTAGCTCTTGTTCTGAAGTAGTTATTATTCAGTGTAAGTCTTGCATATTAAATCACAAAGAACCATTTCTTTACGATAACAGCAGAGAACAATTTGTCATTAAGATCTTGAGGTGGAGGCAGTCAAAGGGTTGCAGGAAGCAGCAGTCTGATAGCAAGTTCCTGCCTCTTTCCCTTCCCTCACACTAGACCTACAGTACTAAGAACCATAAATATTGTACTTCATTGTTAAAGTCTCAGATTTGTCAAGGAGATAACAATGTAGCTTGAGACTGATACAGACGTGGCTCGTGAATAACTGTTTTACAATAGTTTCTACATGAGACTTGGAGGAATGATGTGAGGTTGAAACTTATAAACATGTGATTTATCTTAAGGATGGTTCTCAGTATCTTCAAGTGTGGAGACACTTGCAGACTCCATGTTATGATAATCTGCTGCTCCTTATGCCATTCTTGAAAGTATTGCCTTAGCACCACACAACTTCCAGAAATGGTGCAACAATACAGCTTATCATACACACCGACATCGCAGGTTACTACTGTTGGCCTTGCCAGTATTTCCGTGCCGATCTTTGCTCCTGCAACCATCCTGCCGCCATCTTCCTACCAGCACTGCGTTTCTGCAGCCTAAATGCTGTCTCGCTACACACATGGCTGGGGAATTTCAAAGTGTCATTTGAGATTGAAACCTGAATCTCAGGATCACAAACAGCTCCTGCACTTTAACCCTTTGAAAACTAGGGTTTTCTCTTGGTTTATCGTGACTGCTTTGAGAGTTCCAAAGAACTCTTGGCCCACTTGTTACCCCACCAGGTGGCACGTCACTTGGTGAACACCGAATGCTGAATGCCACTGTGAAGAAAAGGTTTTTTTTCACTAAATGTAACAAATATGGAGATTGAGATGAATCCTAATTTGCATATTAACCAGTCAGTTTTAAGTGTGACCTTCAGATCCCTCAGGGCAATAGGGGCAGACACTAAAAATAAGGGTTTCCATCTGTTATAACCACAGTGGGTGGGTTTTCAGATGGATGGCTCCTATAAGTCAGAACAATGGTTCTTATGGCACTGGGAAGCCTTGGAATGTCACCTGCTCCAATATAGTTTTTGAATCAGTCTCAGTATCACAATATTTGGGGGTCGCTGGCACCCAGGCTCCTAAGAGACGAACCCCAACGGCCCTGTATGCCTTGGGCAGTTCATAATAGACCATGTGAGTTAACAACATTTATGGGGGCGCTGATGTCATTGTAAGAAGAGTGTCTTCAGGCTCTCTTCCTTATTTTAGACACTTTTGACCCCCTTTCAGTTTTGTTCCTATAGCCAAAAAAGGTTCATTGACAGTGTCTGCACTGGTAACTTTCAAACATGTAATGTTTCTCATCTGCTTCTTCCGTAAATAACGTCTCTCCCAATCCATTATAAGAGTGTAACAAAGCAGCCCTTATTTTTAATTTGAAAGGATCAGGTGATTGCATGTTACCTTAATGTAACTCCAGGCCACACGGCATGTGGTGCCAGAGTTGAGAAGTCAGCTTCTGCACCATGAAGTTAAAATGAGACAATTCAAAAGTTTTATAGACATGGTGTTTCTATAGCCATTGAGATTAAATAGCACCCTTATTGGCTTTGGATGACAAAATAATGTGGCTCTTGTCCCATTGCAGCCAGTCTCTCCCGATCAGCCTTCTTGTCTCTGAGGTATTATGAAGATTTGGATGAAGTCAGTTCAACATCCTCCATTTCCCAGTCGCTGGAGAATGACGATTCACAGGTCGTAGAGCAGGAAGAGGAAGCTGCTCCAGTCCAAGTCCCCCGACATGCTCCTGTAGTCCGTACTCCCTCTATTCAGCCTGGTCTAATGGCACAGTCTCCACCATTTGGTAAACCTCATCTCACAATGGGCACTTTAAGTGAGTAGAGTTTGGAACTGCATTCCCCTTCTTGTTTATGACTTTGTTGATGTTTTTAATCTCTACAGTGCTTGTCATAACTTCAAATCTAGGTGAAATGATTTTGTGGTGTCTGTCTTCATGTTGCCAAATCTCCAAGAGCAATTAACAGTACAGAATTATAGCCCCCTTGAACTCAGGCCACTAGTGTTGAAGTAACATTGGAAACTTTATTGTGCTTTTCCTATAGCCTGGGCCTTTTACATCAAGACTGAGAAATTCAACTAAGATTATCTATTGGCTAGAGGACAGGAGGAAAAGTCAAGACTCCTGCCTTTGCCACTAATGTGTGACTTTGGGCAAGTTACTTGACCTCCTTGTGCCTCAGGTTCCCCAACAGTAAAAATGGATGAACCTTTCTGAGCCATAAGTATAAAATCTTACAAGGGAGACATGCATATTGAGGGCCTCAGTTTGTAGCTTTGTGTGTCTGACTTCTGCTTTCAACTGGTGTAGCCAGGTTTAATACTTGGCATCCCAGCGTCTGCCAGTAAGGTGACTGCTTGTGTGTGTTCGGTTTCTCTCCACACCCAGAAGAGTTGTGGTCACTTCTGTAGGGATCCTCTAAGCAAGATGTCAATAGACATGACTAGAAGGACAGACTGAGAAACAGACAGCCAATATGTCCATGCTTTTATGTGACTGCCTACATCTGGTAGCTGATTGAGAAGGAGTATTTTCAGCAGATGACATTCTAATTGTTAAGGTTTATTAAGGAATTAATGTATGAACTGGGTTATGTTTTTCCAAAGGGAGTAAGATTAAGGGTTGGCAATTTGACACACCCTTCGTGCTGAAAAGATAGCTGATTAGGGCTCCACTGCATGCAGTTCATTAGAAGTTATGGGAAAGTGAACATTGCCAGATTTGATGAATTGCTAGTTGCTTGACTGTTGTAAATTAGTCTTGTCTGACTCCATGAGGATTCAGAGGGAACAGGTATATAGTGTATAGTTTGTAAAGAGTCAGTATATTCTAGTGGGGCTTTTCAGTCTCCCTTGTTCATGGGAGTTCAATGAACTGTATCTTTTTTTTTTTTTTTTTTTAGTGCCTACGTCTTCAAGCAGAATCGTTCCACACGGGGCAGATAGCACAATGCTTGCAACAAAGACTGTGAAACATGGGGCCCCTGCTCCCACTGTCACCGTCCCAGCACCACAAGCAGCTGCTGCAGCAGCATTGAGAAGACAGATGGCTAGCCAGACTCCAGGTAAAACTCAAGTTAACTGACTAAAGTCTGGGCATTTCTACGTGTGTGTGTGTGTGGTTGTTTTATTTATTTATTTTATTTATGTAGTGAGTGTAATTTAATAGTTTTTTTTTTTTTTTTTTAATTGCCTTTGAGGGTAAGAAATCATTGACTTCGGCATAAGCCAAGTCTGATACGTACAGGATCTGTATATTCCCCACACAATGCTGCCAGTGGTCTCTTCTCTCTTATTTGAACTATCAGAAATAAATGCCTGAAGAATCAACATCCAGGGCTACTTAATGTTCATTTTAATCTATGCAGAAACACAGAAGTTGATGACTATATATCTTCAAAAACTAACATTACGATCATCTGATATACATAAGCCCCAAGGAATTCCTGATGGTTGACTATTGCACAACTAAAATAATAACCAATCTATATGTAAAAATCCTCCATGATTAATGAAAGGTAAAAGGAAAAGATGTGTTGCCCATCCTAATAGTTCTTCACCTTGTTAGTTACATTAAAAGATGTATATTTTAAAGCAGTTTAATATTAATGTTAAAGGAACACTGTCAGGTAGGTTTGTCCTTAAATCTGGCTATGGGGTTTTAGAAGACGTTAATAGAAAAATCTCCATATATGAGGGGTTTTTTTTGTTTTTGTTTTTTTAGTTTGCTTGGATTTAGACATCCCTTGTAGCACCCAATCATTGCAGGAAATAATAAAATTCAGCTACGTACAAAAAGGAAACTGACTAGTCTTTCTTGTCCAACATGAATGGAACTGCAAAAAGTAGATAAACAGCATGAATACTGGAAAAGTAAATTAGGCATTTCAAATTCTTTGTTTTATTAATCCCAGAAGTTAATAAGGGAAAGGGTGAAAGGGCAAGGTGAGAGAGATTTGTGTTAAGTATGACTTACTCTCTATAAATCTCTCAATGCGAAATACAGTAATTCCAAATATTACAGAATCCGGTAAACTACTTTATATTACTCTAATTTAGATTATAATACAATGTAATCTAACTAATTTACTACAAGTAATTCTACAGAGTAATTACAGTATAAATTATAGTAAAGTTTATATGACATTGCCGCACAAACTGACACATAAAATTACTTTTAACACCTAGGACTAATATTTGAATATATGCACTTACACAAATAGAGCATGCATTTATGTGGCCAAAATAGCAATCATGCACACTCAATAGGTATTTCTATATGTGCCATTCTTTTACAGTATAATTGTGGCACCTTAATATAGACTTTTATTCTCCACGGAAATATTTTTTGGAGGGGATGGGAGAAAGGACAGGGATATGATCATAATCGCAGTTCCAAGGATAAAATAGCCAGAATTCTGAATTGCAATCAGGAGGTCTGTCAAGTATTGATACCAGTTATCACACCAGTTATTAATGTCCTTCCATGCATAGTTGTCAAAAACTCTATATACATCCTAGATGTGCTATCATAAGTCACAAATTTTCTCATCTGCAATAAATTATCCATATCAAATTTGAGCCAAATCCATGGTTTCTGCTGATTTGAATAGACCAGGAGTTCCCTTGTAGCTAGTGTACTGCAGATTCCTTCCCCTGTCCTCCTAGGTGTACATAGGTGGTGGTCTAGTTAAGAAGCTACTCCTCTGGATACTTGTACGAACCATGTGCAGTGGAATATTTCAGCTAATTGGTGGGATTCATCTCTGTTCGCTTTTAAAGCAGTCAGCACCTCCTTGACTGAATCAACTCTAAAGAACGTCCCTCAGGTGGTGAACGTGCGAGAACTGAAGAACAATGCCTCAGCCCCTGCTGTTTCTGCGGTAATAGGGTGCGTGAATGATTTTCCTTTCTCTACATTTTAATGTTCCTTTAATTAGCCCTTGCAATAAGGTTCATCTGCCAGTAGGGGGCAGTATTACTGCTTCATATAATCGGAACCAGTGGAAGTGTTTTGGGGCGTAATGCAGGAATGAACAGCTGCTCCTTGCTGTTTTGTTAGCACACAGGTCTGTGGAGAGGTGCTGGGGGGAGGTGGCAGGTACTGTCCTCCCTGAGTCATTCAAGGACATGCTACATGATTTGCCTAAACAAGAAATTTCCAGTTTCTGATTGAGTCCTGGTAATCTAGGCTCGTGGATCAGTATTGAATTCATTATTAGTTTGTATGTAAATATAAAATATGTTGGTACATCCCCTTTCTGTTATAGTTCTAGATCCTATGGTTTCATTGCTAATGCAAACTCTGAATCCTATTACCTCAGTGGCGAGCTTGAAACTTTGCTATATGGTCCCCACTTCCCAGTTACTAGTATTTTTGCATGTATCCTCTACTTTTGAGTGGGGGGGGGGGGGAACACACGCATCTGCAACTGACTGGGTCTCTGTGTGTTTGAGCTGTCGGGCTGCTCTCCTGTTTATTCCTTCTACCATAGAAAACATCTGCTCTGTAGTTTACTTCTCTAATCTCATGCCCCTGGGTTCCTGCCCTGAACGATTAAGTTTATACTCCAGCTTCTCTAGTAACTTGCATCATTGGAATTTCTTCACAGTAGAAAACCCTTGATATATCAAGGATTAAATATTAGTTAGGGACAGAGCTCCCCAGAAATATATCCAGATGCTAGGCTGTCTTGCTCAACAGAAACCCATGAATATGTGCTAACTGTTTAATTTACAATTTATCAAGCAGTTCTGACTTCCCTATGAGTTTAACTGAAACTGTTGGCCTTCCGATACTCCACATCCCACAGCCAGCTGCCAGCTCAGGTCATTCCAGGGATTTCTGTCTTCTCACCAAGCAGTGTCACCAGTCACAAAACTAATTCTTTTCTCTGTATTGGTAATGACCTTGAAATCTCAAGAGAGATGAATGATTTTTTTTTCTTTTTTAAAGTGAGGGAGGAGAGATTTCCACTGAAAAGTATTAGAGGAGTTAAGGATTATGCTGTATTCCTGCTATGATTAAAAAAAATGGTATTACAAAAGGAGATAAATTCACCATATGCTTCCAGTGTAAATTGTCTGGAATTGCAAATGCTTTATCCTGGACGATGGTGTGCATTGGACATGCGCCTCTTGGAACTATTTGTTTGCCACTTCTGGATTTCATGTATTTTCTATTCCTCTCTTTGATGGAGAAGGGAAAGCAGAATTCCTTTGAAATACTTTATCAGAATGCCTTGGAAAAGGACTTTTGTAATGGTGAGCACCAGCTGTTGCTCACCTCCTGGGAGTCCATCTTGGAGGGTCTACACTTGAAGAAGGTTCAGAAGTTCTTTAGTATTTCATTTTTCCCTAAAAGCAACTGCCTTCCTCTAAGGCAGTATTTTCTTGAAGAGCTGTACACTACCAAATAACAGTGCCCAGAACTCCTGCCAAAAGCCAAATTGGGATGAGCCTGTGGAAGTGATCTTGACAGGATTTAAGTTGGTTGCGTGTAAATTGATTTAACTATTACTCCTGGGGAATTCTGTGCCAAAAAATTAAATTTTGTGCACAATATTTTAAAATTCTGCATATTTTATATGTCAAAACAACACAATATAATCACATCAGTTTCAATTATTATTTTGGGTAATTTATTTTAAAATACCTGTCAGCAAATATGTCTGTAACAATACAGACAACAAAAAAGATTTGGGAAATGTTTTTTGACAAATAGATTCCTTGCTAGGCATATTAATACAGAACTCTGAGTAATAATTCATTTAAACTACAATACAGAGCCATATTTCCTGCACCCCTCAGACGCAGTGCAAAGGCTTGGGGAGTCGGGGGGAAGGGAAGTAATTGCTGGAAAGGAGCCTGGGTGTGAACTTGGAGGGATGTTGGGTCTGGGTGGGAAAAGTATGGAACAGTTTTTGGGGGTGGGGGGTAGGGAGGGATTGTTAGGGACCTTCCCCCATGCAGACCCTGGCTGACCCCTAGCCTCTCCCATTCAGTCAGACACATCTGCCCCTGTGTTCTTGCACCCCCTGTCCATGTATCCCTCCACCCCCACTCAGACACCCACTCCCTGGTCCCCATGTGTCCCTGCACCCCCTCCTCTGTCCCTGTGTGTCTCTGTGCCCCCACTCAGCCATCCCCCTTCCCCATGTAGCCCTGCACCCCTTCAGCCATCCCATCTCCTCATCCCTATGTGTCCCTGCACCCCTTCTCCCCTGTCCTTATGTCTGTGTCCACACTCAGCCATCCCCCTTCCCCGATGTGGCCCTGCACCTCCCTCTCACCGTGGCCTTGTGCCTCCACTTCCATTCAGCCCCTGCCTCAGTCTGGCCTCCCCCACTAGCCCTTATGAACCCCAGTCTGACCCTCCAGAAGCTCCACGCTGTCTGTCTCCCCATATCCCCTTTCTCCTGACCTGGCCTGACAGGCGCTGTGAAGAAAGCACTGCAGGCTCTTTCTCTTCCCTAGCTGGCTGGGAGTGACTGCTGTGTTCTAGCACCACAGTGCCCTCTGGTGGGCAAAAGGCAGAATTGCAACAACTTTCCAGCCAAAGTTATTTTCTGCTTAGGCTGGCCAGGAGTGGCTGCTCTGTTCTAGCACCATAATGCCATCTTGTGTGGAAAAGGCAGAACTGCAGCAACTTTCCTGCAGAAGCTATTTTCTGCAACAACAACAAAATTAAAAATGTGTGGCATATTAATTATGCACGTGCGCAGTGGCGTAGAATTCCCCCAGGAGTAAAACTATATCTCTTGCCTCAATGATCATCTCACTCACCGTTATGCAGCCTTGTTAGGAGTGCTGTATTCAAAATGAACAATTGATGCACATCTTGGATGAGTGTTAACTTGACCTCTATGATATAACTATTTTAGCTTTAAATAGTTTTTGACTTACAGTATCGATCTGTATCTATAATTCATGGGGTGCCATGTACCTTTATATTACAAGAAGGCTGTAAAAGCCCTTGAATAACAGACCTCCTAAAAATGTACCATCTAAAAAGTCTATCAAATAGAACCCATGCTAGCCGGTCACATTGCTGGATGGATGCTCCTTATTTAGTGATCAAAGTTGTCATGCTTTTGCTACTTAGGCATCCTGTTTCTCTCTTGCCACAGCAGCACCTTCTCTGGGTTGTTGAGCTGCAGTGATTACTAATCATTATCAGGGGTTTTGTGGCCTGTAGTTAAACAAGCCGGTGGCCTCAGTCCACTTCTTAGTGTATGGTTGATCTCCTCGTCAAAAAAAAAAAGGGGTATCTCCACACTTGGAACCAAACCGGCCTTTGTTAATGGTTTCATCAGAAGAGCGAAGGATTAAAGGAGTTTGAAGACCAAATTTTCGTCTCAATCAGAGAAGTGACCCCTTCAGAACATTGTGGGACAATGTGGGGAAGCTTGCTTCACCTCTACCTGTATTTTACCTGCTCTGTGCTTTGCCTTCAATCTGGCACCTTTTTAATAAACATCCTATTTATCTATGGCACCAACATTGATCAGATCAAGCGAGCGTAGCTACACTGAGTGAGTAGAAATCATATCCTTCTAATAAAATGTCAATGGCTCACTATCATTTCCCCTTTGGGAAGAACTTTTTTGATAAATGTTAAGGTCATGAGTTGCACAAAATCATTTACATGCAGATGATACACTTATACCTTTCGCTGATTTTAAAAGTAATTTAAGTTCTTACTGCAAAGAGTAAATCACTGAAATGTCTTCAGTGATCTCTGGATGTAATTTGACAAAGGAACAGAGAAATGTACAAATTGAGATGATCTCTGTACATAAATCTATGATTGAAATTGGTTTGGAAAACCTTCATGAATACAGAGGGTAATGGCTGACAAATCTGATCTGGCTTTTACTTTGGCGCATGATGACAGCGTTCTGCTCCTGTATGCTGACGTTCTGTACTGCTCCAGCAGAAGGAGAAAGGAAGGCTGAATCAGAGAGTCTTTTTAGTCTCTTAATTTCTATATATATTATACCAAAGAACATCCAGCACCACACAGTGAGGCTGCATCTTTATTACTAGGTTCTAGTCTGTCACCACAAAACTTCAAGACATAGTTTAGAGCAATTAATGCACAAGATGTTTGCCTTATACTTGATGTGTGCTATGTAACCAGAGTGCCTTCAGTGAGTCAGCATTATCTAGTGGCTGACTTTCGTTTGGCGCTCTGTCACTGAGAGACCTTGAGCAAGTTACTAACCTCTCTGCCTCAGTTTCCTCATCTGTGCAGAGGGCACAGTATTTTGTGAAGCACTTTGAGACCCTCTGGAAAAAGGTGGTCTGTATATTTTTTAAAGTGGACTTGTTTCATGAAATCATAGCAGATATCTTTAATTTTTTAAATCTAAAGTATTCAAGGATCTTTTAGATTTTTTTTTGTTTGCTTTACATTTAAAGTGTTAGTCTGTAGCTATTTTAACATAAAGTTTAAACAGACCTAGTAGGAGGAGAGGCTTAACACATTCAATGGAGTGAGTTCATGTGGTGAGCAGGAGGAGAGAATATGAATATCCTGGTTGGTAGCCGTCAGAGAAGATTGGAGTTTATAAACTGGAATAGATCAGGTCTATGAAAGGACCTTTGTAATTCAGGGGTTCCTTTTCTGTGGGGATATGTGGTTGTATGTAGCCAGTAGGAGGCAGAAGAAGCTAGAAGTGAAAGTTTTTATGGCTGTAGCATAGTGTTTGAGTAAAAAGCAACAGAGGGTCCTGTGGCACCTTTAAGACTAACAGAAGTATCGGGAGCATAAGCTTTAGTGGGTAAGAACCTCACTTCTTCAGATGTAAGTCTTTTTACGGATGTTGCTTTTTACAGATTCAGACTAACACGGCTACCCCTCTGATGTTTGAGTAAGTTAACTGTCCA